AAGATGGATATTATGCAGAGTTGCCTCTTTTTTGTTTTAAAATGTTTTTATATGTAAATTTGTAATAGGTAAGTATGCAATTATTTCCAATTTCGTATTCGCGCTTTCTGCCCATGATTTTGGACAGAAATGGGTTTTAACCCATCTTAGCAGTTATACGATTTTAGAACCTTTAGCCTTTCAGTTAAATTGTTATGTTATATCAGTTATGGCTTGGTACGATATAACGTTTATGCAATTAGATTTTTTTTAACTAACATCGAAACGGTAAAAATACCGTTTCGATGTTAGTTACAAAAAAAATCTATCGAAAACGATACCATTTTTATTTTGTTTCTTCAATTTTTTTCACAAAAGTTGTTGGGATGTTTTTTTTGCAATAAATTTTTTTGTTTCTTGTTTTTACATTAAAATCAGAAAATGACCAAAAATTTTTCATTGGAGGTATTGTTTTGCTTGTTTGTCTTATTTATACATACCTACCTATACATATTAAGTTTCGCCAAAATATAAAAATCTTTAGTAAAAATGCTTTAAAAAATGCTTGTAAAAATACGCTCGTATACATATTTAATCATTGACAAGTCAATGTATTTAATAGGATAGAATACAGTTAAAGAGAAACTCCTCTTGAAGTTACGCTTTAAAGCGAAGAACACATATTTCTCCATGTATCTATAGGCATATCAAATCATCATCATCTAGCCATGGGTCTCCTGGCGAGGGTTTAGTCCATAGTCCGCCACTGACTGACTCTACACGTTTTCCGAAGGTTGTGAACCTTCTTCGACGTGCAAGTTTCATCGCGATGTTTTCCTTCACCGAAAACCTCACGGTAAATTTCGCACATACCTATATTCCGAGAAAATCCGAACCGGAATTCGAACCCACGGCCAGAGGCGGTAAGTGAAACCATCAGGCTACCACGGTTTCTAGTATATCAAATATCAATCTTATATATTTCTCAATATATATCAAATAACGTACCGCACTGCTATTACAATAGTGTTATAACTCGAAATATATAAATATGAATATGAATGTTTATACAAATTTTGCTGACACATTTCGCATCATATTCACTTGCTTTTAACTATTCTTAATGCATCTAAACTAACACGCTTTGTAAGAAATTTAAAATACATAGAAAGTTTTGCCTGAATAAGATAAGATAAAAGTTTCAGAATGTAAGACATCGATTATATCAAATGGTCCAAAGCAAAACCGAATTATGTAACTCGTTATGCACTTTTCATTATTCTTTTCCATGATGGAATCTAATAAGCAGATTTCTGTAACACTAAATACAAAACCCGTACATTATACCATTTAAAAGTACCTACATGAAAAGTAATGAGTTGTATAGGAATTTCTCGAATATGGGTTTCGCTTCGGGGGCGCCTCGATATAGGATGCTAATAAGCAATAACGCGTCAACCAACATGATCGTAGTTTCAACAAAATGTCACGTAAAGATTTTTTCGTGGTTTCGTTAAAAGTCAATAGTACTTCGGCTGGAATTCAACGTTTTTCCCGTACTAATACGGTTCATTTTGCTTGGGTCGGGTGGCGGGGACACTGGCTTTATTTCAGAATTTATTTTTTATAAACGAAACTAGAGACATTCGAAAAATGTATATCGTATACTTCTATTTAGTTCAGTTGGTATAAAAAAAAAAAATTGGTATATACAAAGCACCTATTGTACCTATTCAAATTTCGAGTTGATTTTGTGTTTTTTTTCCTATAGTGAAAATTTTCAGGAATCGTATTTTCACACCTTATACTAATCAATATATATCCTGATTTAAATCGCGTATATTTGTTTTTTCAAACAAACCGACGTTTCGGGCCCTTTTACAGGTCCCATGGTCACGGTTGACTGAGGTGGTACAGTCTTCAACCAGTTACGTCTAATATTGATGCAAAACACTCTATTTTTTCACTATACTTACAATAGTTATTAATTAAATACCTTTTTTAAATATTACAAAGAACACATTCCAATTTACGTTATATTAAGTTTTACAAATTATTTTATTGAATGAATTTTTATTAAGTTTCATTTATTATTAATTATTAATAGAAATTAGAATAAACTAAAACATATTAATTGGTACTGCAGTCTTATGTCTGTTTGGGATTTTTCATTAGAGGAAATACTGGATCCCAAACTGGTGGTACGGAGAAACCATCTTCCCTGTTGAAATTAGGATGTTTTTTAATTTCAATGGCCTCTCGCAGCATCCTGGGTAGATAACGGACTTCTTTTGCAAGGACCTGAGGTTTGTCAAACTTCATTGAATGTGTAGGAAACGTTGGTTTGTTTGAAAAAACAAATATACGCGATTTAAATCCGGAAAAATAGTTTCATCTCCTATGTGTAACAATCGCGAAAACCTAAGAACTCGTTACTATATATATTTTTTCCAAAACACTTTCACTGTTCTGCGGTATCTACCAAAACCATTTAAGGTTGTATTGACTCTTAAAGATTCTGCTTCCGTTTAGCTCTTGCAGTTCGTCTCGGTTGATGGTATTTGAAAATAAATATAGTACATGCTAAAGGCACAAGATATAAGAAACCTGTTTTCCGGAATTGTTTGTCAAATAACCATGATGAGCATTTTCGTCCGAACATTGATCAGTCATTATATGCTTTTACAATACGATTTCGGTTGTTTACGATGTATAAAATTATAGTGACACAAAAACTTAAAAAAATACTGTTTCTGCGTATTCGGATGACAAAAATCTATAGAGTTTAGTTCATGCAAGTTCTCTCGATCCATCATATTCCAAATAAGTATTGTAAATTTACAAAGAGCAACCCCTAGACTTTCTTACTCGTTCTTATCAGGGGAATATGCCTTAGGAATGAGTTACAGAGTTTAATCAATGCGACAATTTGTAGTGTAATTTGCTTACTTATAAAAAAAAAGACAGATAATGGAGTCTACCTTACGACAACATTTTTTGTCCCGGATGTTTTCAAGATTCGGGAAATCACTTAGGGATATTCATCCTAGTCGAAGTCGTCGAATAGTATTAAGTAAGAAGTTTTTGATCGGAATTTTCTTAAATATTCCGAAAAATTGTTGGTTGCAACAACTCGTCGCAAAGTTTAGATAAATATTAGTTGTTGAATACCATTGACTTACAAATAAATGGACGACGGGTCTAATACAAAAACCACGAAAAAAATGTCCCAAGTCAACCTATTCGAAATTTAAATTGTAATGTCATCGCAGTATCGCGCTGTCAGTAGAACAAATGAAGACTAAAGCGGAGTGTCGCGCTCTGTATACGATTTTAGCGCCTTACAAGTGCGGACACTTTTTAGCGCGGACCCGACGTCCATATAATTGTAAGTCAATGTACTTTATATTTTTGTAGTTTTTTAATTTTAATAAATTAGGATGAATACGTTCTCTTCAATTTGTTATAATTTTAAACTAGGCTGAATGTACGTAAATCTAAGTCATTTTATAAAATCTCTCTGCTGTCAAAATTCTCTTTCGTGACTTGCCTGCTACAATAAACCGCGTTTATTTTACAAGTTTTGGTTTTAATTATAAATTAGAAAAATAAGTAGCAATCAGCCCTCTACACTTAAGAATAGTCTTCCTGCCTATCCCAAAAAACGTCAATTTTTAATTTACCGAAATACAAATGCATTAGTTTCATATAAGATGCTACGTTGTCAGCGACTCTAAAAAGAGCATACATTGCATCTTAAATTAATTTGTAACTGTGAAGATTGTGGAGAAGACTTCTAAGAACAATTATAGAATGGCTCCACGTCTGAGAGCGTCTCCAATACATTGTAACTTCATTATGAATGAGGTTTATATGCCAATATGGAAATAATACAAAATATTTGATTATGAATATAATTTTATTAACAATTTTAAATTAATGACTGTACCTATGTCGTAAGTCGTTATTTATTTACATTAGCGATTTGTTATATAATACATTTATACATTTATCTCTGGCCTAGTATATATATCTAATTTATAATAAACCTAGATTCTATAATGCACGAGATATGGGTAAGAACTCTAATGGAAAATACAAATTCAAATTTCCATTTGGAACTTTAAAATATTCGCTACATGCCTTTTCGGTTTCGATCAAAATTATTCATTATCTTGTTTTTCTTATTGTTGGAAATATTACAATTCGATTTATGATTTTTCTAAATCTATCATAAATTTATCATTATTATGTTGTAAAAACTAGATATAGTTGACAAAATATAACACAATGTTTATTTTGAATAATAGGAAGACAACCGGAAGTCAAAAACAATGATAGAATAATGGAAAAGTGTCATAAAAAGGCGCCAAAAACATTTAAATTTTGAATTTAAATTGAATAAAGATTTTAAATAAAAAAGATTCGTTTATATTTGTAGCGACATCCGTAATTCACTACAATTTTATTTTTTTATTACTAAGCCGAAAGGCGCTATCTCTGAGATACGCCCTTTTATTTTTTTTATACCATGTAATAGCAATAATAATTTCGCATCGAATGATATAACACAAATAACGCTATCTAATTTAAAACATTACAAAACCACTAAGAAGTATTTTTATATATCAATTTTTGAAATCTTTCTTTATGTTTAAAAATAGCGGTATCCCACAAAATAGGTATAATGGTACAATTTATGGATAATTTAGGTATATCAATAAATCTATTACTCGAAAATACGTATCAATAAGTTTTAACATCTTCAAAACGATTTATTTTTGAACGTGCGAGTGCGTTTACAAAAAGACGATTTTCTCAAAACTTACTCGAATTGAGATAGTGCTTTTCGGCTTATCACGGCAGAATTTATATCTTAATTTACTTCATTTACTACCAATACTCAAAAACATCAATTGACATAAAAAATGACGTTTATTCAAATAGTTTTAAACGAAAAATTTGTTAGTTCCATATCTTTTTCAGTTTAAATAGTGAGTTTGGTTATATATTAAGGAGTAGGGCAAGTCTTATCTTGTCACTGTTATAATGATATTTATCTATATAATGTATCATTTATGATCCTAAATGTTGTTACACGATTTCCCTTAGGAATTCATTCGATATATGAATGTAAATTTATAGGAAAACCATATTTTCTCATTGTAACATTTCCAAACTTTGTAAACAACTCAACACGAATGTCCCTGTTTCTTTAACACAATGAATAAATACATCATAAGATTGACGTGATAAGGTTTCAAAAGCAGTCAGGTACAAACCTTTTAAATGCCAAAAGATTATATAGGTACTTTTACAGCAATAATCTCTACAATACTTTAAATAAAAGTTGATATGATATATGAATTTATATTAAAACTGGTAAACAGCGCAGCAAGTAAATAAGGAAACAAGTGCTCCGGAAAGTAACTCTAATAATTTACTATAGGGTATTAAATATGAACCTATATTTTATCAGAGAATTAAATAAATAAACTAAGATTAATTATTAAATAAACCCTGATTGAGAGCCAGAGCGTAATACTCGAGACAAACAGTTAAAATAACCCTGTTACACCTTGAACGTAAAACAAATCGTAATGTCGAAAATTTCTAACCATCCGGTAAGAGGGTTTGGTAAAATATATCGAAAATGCAACAGTACAATAGATCGTCGCTACAAAGTGGAGGTACGTACCTGATACGCAGAAATGCCGACAACTTCAAGCACTCGCTTTACACTTTCAACGATATAATTACATTCTAATAAACTGGTTTACAATACCTTAACATCACATACATCACGGACTTTGTGATACTAACTAGGATAACATAGCTTGGTCTATATTGCATCGTTCGTCACTGAACCGTCTCTACGCGCGGCGGCTCGCGTCATTCGTATCACCGTGACATTATTTACACTATCAGTCTGTGTGGCGACGCGCCGGCGGGGGCCGGCGCCGGCGGCTACTCCTCGTCCACGTTGATCTCCGAGTCCACCGAGTCCTCGTCGTACGTGGAGGACGAGGCGAACCCTCTCCCGAGTAACGCCGATCTGTTCTTGGCGGCCGCCGCCCGGTCCCTTTGCCGTCGGTTCTTGAACCAGTTGCCGACCTGCGTCGGCGTCAAGCCCGTCGCGGCCGCCAGCTCCCTCTTCTTCGTCGGGTTCGGGTACGGGTCCTGCAGGTACCACTCCCTCAGGAGCGATCTCGTCCGCTCCTTGAAGCAGTGCGTCTTCTGTTCGCCGTCCCAAATGGTCCGCGGCAGCGGGAACTTCTTGCGCACTCGGTACTTGTCCACCGGGCCGAGCGGGCGGCCGCGCAGCCTCTCGGCCTCCTGGTAGTGCGCCTCCAGCCAGAGCGCCTGCAGCTTGGCGTGGCTGGAGCGCTGGAAGCGGTGCCGCTCGAGGATGGAGTAGAGCTCGCGGTGCCGGCCGGCGTGGAAGGCCACGACGGCGCGGGCGCGCAGCACGGCCTCGCACTGCTCCAGCTCGGCCACGTTGGGGTGCGCCACGGGCAGCGACCACAGGAAGCGCGCCAGGCGCTCCACGTCGCCGCTCTCCTCCAGCGTCTCGCAGACGGTGGCCACCTGCGCGGCGCTGAAGGACAGCGTGGGCAGCGGCAGCAGCGGCGTGGGCGCCGCCAGCTCCAGCGCCAGCGCGGTGGGCGCGCCGTCGGCGCAGGGCGCGGGCTCGGCGGCGCGCTCGGGCGCGGCGGGCCCGCGGTGCGCCTCCAGGATGCGCGCGTGCAGCGCCGCCGTCGTGGACTCGTCCCAGGAGCCGCGCATCGGAGCGAGTGTGCGCGGCGGAGTCGCGCGCCGTGTGAGCCGCGCCAGCGCCCCGGCCGGGGGCGTGCTGCCCGCGCGAGCGCGATTGGCTATCGGTTACGCTGCGCGCGCCGCGCCGGCCAATCGCGGCGTCGCCCGCTCGGGGGCCGGATAGCTTTCAACCGCGTATCCGACGGGCGCGTTTAACGAGGGCGGCGGGGCGCGGCCCCCCCGCGCCGCCATGATCCGACACGCACACCGCCCCCGGCCCCCGGCGGGCGCTCGCGAGGCCGACGCCGCCAACTACACCGTCACACTCCTCTATCGATTACTGCAAACGTGCAATTAATACCCTCCACGTACTCATCCGGGTGGATTTCATGCGAATGTTTGCACGATATGCTCCTATACGGTAAATCGATATATCTTAAGCGAATTTGCATATTTACCACTAGCAAGGAACATTAGACTAGTCCAAAGGATCCCGTAACATCTATTCGTTCACAAAATCATCACGATGTAGAGTCACTTGGTAACTTACAAAAACACAACCCTCGACTTGAGTAAGACGGCTAAATCACATATTTCCTTTATAATAAGTTAGCAGCGTTACATGACACTAAAACTAGTACATAGAAATAACAAATTATTGGCGAGATTTATACATTCCAGTAAAACAATAAATTTTTAAAGTTGTTCAAGTCAAACGCATTGAACAAAAACAAAACAAAAATCAAGTATCAAATCGCGTTGGTCGCAGTTGAGCCGAGCGAGATTTCAGCGTGAAAGCCTTCCAGAGTATTAAGTTATTGAACGGCAAACCACACCCAGCGGCTGTAAAGCTACACAGGTGCCACCCTGGGGGCTTGAAGTGGGCGAACCCCCTCGATTGTGGGTTGTGTTACTGGCATCATCTCAAACGTAACGTATTTCAAAGGTGACTGAGAATTGTTCGTTGGAACAACGCATGCTTTATCGTGACAAAGAATCACATCTCTAACGTGTCAACCCGAAACACTGTAAATTCCAAACAGTGTTTTGTCATTTCATTACAACTATTTAAAAAAAGGAAATACGTACAATAAATGATATTATTTGTGAAAACATACGACGTTGACACATAACAAAATAAATATCTATTACACAAACATATATTACATTTACTGAAGTTCAACAGACTATAACAAGTCTAAGGTTTTTTTTAATAGTACCATATGGGCGTGCGCACATAGATTGAGGAAGTCAGTAAATAATTTGAACGCGGTCATATATGGGTCAATTTTAATGACAATAATTGTAAAATATAAATAAATGTGAAAATATTAAAAATAGTACGCCAAAATAAAGATACAAATGTCAAAAATTACATTATGAAGTTAGGAATTTGTCATTTAAAATTCGAACACTCTAGTACCTATATGCTCTAATAATAATATAATAAAGGGGTTAGTTACACAATACAAACAGAGCAACACAAAAATAAATAAATATTAACAATACTATGCGACGACAACATCCTTTTAATCAAAGTTACACAGCTTAGTCAAGTAATGTTTAATGAAGAAAAAATAAGCAACATTACAATATTAAAAAATTAAAAATAGCAATAAAACTTTCTAAGCTATAGAAAGTCAAAAAACATTAAAAAAAAATTGTTAAAAATTTTATCAAAGACAAATATTAACAAACTCATTGTCTATTACCTTTAACATATTTTCTTTCGAAGAACGATATCGTTTCCTAAATGCATGTTCATCTAACTGGAGCAGTGGATCGTATCGTTTCTTTTTCTTTGCGTGCCTCCGTCTAAAGTACCGCAAATCTGCTATATCACGCCGAAAATTTTCCAGTTTTTCACAACTCAAGTAAAAATTTTCTCACAATAAAAATCAAAACAAATCTGCTTCACTCATTGACATTTTCTTACCTGATAACAGCTGATTAATGTCAGCCATCTTGTTAGTTAGCGAGCTAATAAAGGTTTTTAAGTTGACAGCTATAGTTATACAACAAATTAATCAATAATTTAGCAATATTAGTGTTAAAACATTCTTAGGTATCTAAGAATGTTTTTTAAACATTGTTTAAAGCGTTATCTAAAGTTAAATAGTGTTTACAAGTAAGGCTGTAAATATATGTGTATCTATACACAGATACAGTACCTTGCTGCTGCCAAATCGTTGGCGTTCTTGATTGTAATTAACCGGTAACATACTTACATTACATTACATTAACACTGGCCAAAACCTAGTGCCCGCCATTAAGGATAAATAATAATAATTTGTATTATTCAATAAGTAAATTTTTTTATTAGACAATAAGTTAAAATATGCAGGTAAAGTATATACAATAAAAGCTTAAAACCTAGAAACTAAAACTTGAATTAAATTCTATGAATAAAATTGGGTCGGCCCAAGATGCTGGCAGCGTTCCCCCTTTTTATGGCTATGCTAATGCGTTTGGCAAGGTAGCTTACAGCCCTTGGGTTTCCTAGACAGTCAGTTTTGTGATACAATTTTGTACAGATGAAGGACACTGGTACCCCACGGGCAAAGAGTTTCGACTCCAAAGGGTTTCGGTTTTGATGGGTAAGGGGTGCTGGTGAACTTACAGGCATATGGGACTTGTCAGATCTTTGTGATTTAAAGTTCTAAGTGGTTCTGCAACTGTTATGGACAGGCGTGTCGCGTACCATCAGGCGCACAACTTGTTCGCTCCGTCCCTTGATATCATAAATGAAAAGAAATAGTTAAGGTGTGTACACGGAGTGAATTCCATTTCTCTGGCTCTCATAATACAGGGAATTGCCCTGTTTGAGACCAGGTATAATTGTTGTGATTGTCTGGCACATTATTGTTATTATAAGTTTGTTTCTCAATTCTTATTTTAATTTAACTGTTATAAATATCTACTTTATATATAATAACGCATACACTCATAGCCCCGCACTAGAGAAACCCTGTAGTGTAAAACCGGGACAGATGCCGCAGTGGGGTAGGTGCCTCGTTTTCAAAAAACCTAACTTCCCCAAATCGCAACAAAGAATAATTAGTATAAATAAGGAGTAGACACCACTCATCAAAGTTCCTGCAGGGCTTCGTGTGGAATAGACGCGTTTGGCTTGTGCATGGGTTCATCTCCGCGACGAACACAATAAACGGTTCAAAATTTCAGACGCATGTATTTAATGTCGCATAACTTTGTAAGTTTTATTAAACTCCGTTTTATTTTTATTATAACTAGACACTGGTTCATTAACTGGGCACCTAGGTGTCAATTATCGCTCTTTTGTATATAGCTTAGTTATATAATAAAAGGGCATCTATCCATATCGAATAGCAAAGTCGATTTTTCGCGGTATAGGTGCCCTTAGGGGCAAGAAAAGTTAGGGAAAGAAATTTAAAAAATTCATTATTTTAGTGAAAAAGACATGTAAATGGTAATAGTTTAAAAGTAAGTACAACTACCAAAAAGACAAATTATTCACAGTTCAAACTGTAAACATTTTTGTATAGAATGTTTTGACAGCTACAAAAATACGAAGTGAAGTAGGTAGTAACTTTAAATACGTATATATTTATTATAAAATATGTAATATGTATATACAATATATTAAAGACTACAAATAAATCATTTTATTACGAATTTTACTATTTTATTCTAAATCTATCCTTCTTAGTGTCTATCTTCATTGTGTGGTGTCTATCCATATAGGTAGACATGTATCCTCAAAAAATAGGTTTGCAAAAAGTCAATTTCGTCAAATTCAGTAAATGTTGGATCAATAAAATAAAGTATTAATGTAATGTAAAAGATTAAACTAGTTGTATCCATAGGAATTATTCACGGTAAACCATTGACTTATAAATAAATGGACGTCGGCTCTAATACAAAAACCACGAAAAAAATGTCCCAAGTCAACCTATTTAAACGTAGTGACATGTAAAGGAATATGAAAAAGCTGAAACGTTGAATTTATATTGTAATGTCATCGCAGTACTGTCTAATTTTGCTTGCTTCGCTGTCAGTCGAACAAACGAAGACTAGAGCGTGAATGACGCTCTGTATACGATTTTAACGCCCTGTAAGTTCGGACACTTTTTAGCGCGGACCCGACGTCCATATAGTTGTAAGTCAATGCGGTAAACTAATAATTTTTAAATTAGGAGGCCCTTTCAAAAAGTGGGGCATCTATCCCGGTCTTACCCTATCGCGGGTGCCATGGACACACAAATAGACAACAACAAATTACACCCAAAGTCATCGAACCCGGGACCTCTGCGTCGCTGTCCGGCATTGTAACCTTTCGACCACTGAGGCAACAACACTGTGTTTAAATCGTAATATTGTGACATTGATATTATGAAACAAATGATTTGTAACTACGTATATAATATAAAAGTGGGTAGGCAGAGTATACGGACTTCCTGCTTCATACTTTTTAACTGACTTCAAAAAAGGAGAGTTCTCAAATCTTCTGTATTCTTTTTGTGTGCATGTTACACGATTATTCTTCCTTAATTGTCACCCTTAGAGGTGCAATATTTTCTTCAATGGGACTACTATCAACTTAAGTGAAGTCGGTTAAGAAATCGACTGTGAAGTGATAATCTCAATTTCGACAATTTTACAGGTGAAGAAAAAAATTGTTTGCGTCATTTATATAGCATCTGATTTATTAAATAAAAATACGTAGTTTTTAAATATTTTTATTATACGTACACTACGTATTTTTATTTTATATTTTTATTTTATTTAACGTGTTGTTTTGTATTGTTCCAGAAGCCGGTATAGACTAAAGAGCAGTGTTAATTAATTAAACATCTAAAAAATGAAAGTGTCTAACATGTGTAACTCGCATGACTGATTTGACATTGGCAAAATTCTTCAAGAGAAGCCAGAAACTTAAAAATAGAATAGAATAGAAAATAAATTTAAATTGACATCGGATAAGCAAACTTTTGAGGTTAGTATTTTGTTTAGGAAACTAAAATACCGAAGCAAATGGAACCAAATGTAAT